ATCTGTCCATCCATCCATCCATCCATCCGTCCAGTTCTCCATGGAGCCCTCCGTGAGGTCATTCTTCCATGCTTCTCCATCACCTGTCCAGCCTTTTCTTCATCCATCCACCCTCCACCACCCACCCACCCTCTCATCATGACACACGAAGTCATCTTCCCAGCTTCCATCCTCCCATTAATCCTCCATCCTCCTGTATCCATTCTTTATTCCGCTCTCCCTTCCTCCACTCCTCTCTCCCACGAGCAACCCCCCCCCCCCCCCCCCCGTTCACTGAGTGTGGCTGCGCTTTGCAAAGGGCGCGCACATGGCGGGGGCAGCGCATCTTCTGATAGGTGCAGAGCAGCACGGTGAAGCTAGGGGTCAGGTTGGGCGAGGGCTATGCCTACAGACCCCCCCCCCCCGCTCCCTGAGGTCAGCGGGAGCAGGTGCTCCCTCCCCAGGGAGTGCCTCAGCCCCCTCGGTCGCTGCCCTGGGCTGTCCCTAGAGTCACTGCTCTGGGCAGTGGGAACAGCAGTGAGTGCGGGGGCTCTCGGGGACATTCTGCCTTTTGGCCCACTGTAGAGGAGAGAAGAGACTCGGTCCCAGAGCAGCCCCCCAGGCCTCTCCGGGGGTCTCCTCCCCTGAACGTGGGGGCGTCCCTGTCTGACAAGCGCACAAGGGAGGGGCTGGGTGAGGAGGTGACATGGGCACCAGGGCCTCAGCTGCCCCTCCGCCAGGACAGGGCTGTCAGCACTTTCTGCAGCACCCCTCCTTCGTGTTGGCTGGGCATCAGTGACTCCTGCCCCTGCAGCCCTCTGCACCCTTGGGGCCTCCTGGACCTGTGACCTCCTGGCTTTGCATCCTGGCTGCCATCAGTCCTCTGAGGGTGTCCCCCTGAAGTGAGGGGCAGTACCCCGCTTCCTGCTCAGCTGCTGCAGCATCCTTGACCACAGCCTGGGTGATGCATGGGACCATTCCCCCTCTGGGGCGCCAGCATGCTGGTGTCAGCTGCTGGGAAGGGGGATAGTGGCCCTGGGAGGGAGGAGCAGGGACAGGCCTGCTGTTCAGAGTCTCCCCAACCACACATCATCTGTGAACAGACCCCGAGACGTCCCTGTGACCTGTGAGAGTGGCCTGCAGCCCAGCCCTGTCTCAGTCCCTAAGCTCTGTACTGTGGGGTTGCACCCTTGGTCAGACTCCAGGCTGGTGTCCATGGGCTGATGTTGTGCCTGCTGCCCCTGCCCCAGGGAGGCCTGAGCTTGGTGTGTGTCCCTGTCACAGACAGTGAGTAACAGGGGACCTCCCAGCTTTGCTAGGGCCATGCAGGGCCTGGGGTCAAGGTCAGGTCGCTGAGTTCCCGCCTGTGGGAGTGCAGGGCAGTGGGGCAAAGGCCTTGTATGTGTCTAGGCCCTGGAGTGGAGGAGCACTGACCAGCAACTGTCTCCATGGACATCTGTGTCCTAGGAAGTGCTTGTGTGGGAGAGGGAGGAGCACCCCACCTGCTGGCTGCTGTGGTCCCCTTAAACCCCTCAGCCCTGTCCCTGCAGTCGACAGGACAGTAGCCACGTGGAGCTGGACCCCAGCTGACCATCTGGGGCCCAGTGTCCAGTCCAGTCCCGGGGAGGGAAGCGGGACAGCATTGGTCTGGGCGGCCCTATCACAGACGCTGTGTGCCTCAGGCCTCAGGCAGCTGGCGGGAGCCAGGATGATGCTCAGATGGGTTGGTCACTCTCGCCCCAGTGGTCGGCTCTGGGAACACAGGGCAGCGCCACCTGGGCTGCAAGAATGGCTGTCCTGTGAGGTGCTGCCAACCCACTTCCGTCCCCTTCTCACGCTTTCTGGTCGCTTCCTCCATCCTCCTGTCCATCTGCCCCTCTGTCCGCTTATCCAGCTACCCACCCAGCCTTCCATCCGTCTATCCTCCCACCTGTCTATCTGTCCGTCCACTCCACTTCCTCTTCCTGAGGACCTGGTAGCATCTCTGAGGGGCCCGCCTTTGTCTCCAGGGACTTCCCGCTGTCTCCACCTTGGTGCTGGGCCAGAGCCCTTGCCTGGCTGTCCATGCCTGTTAAAGCTGACCTGGCCACCTTGTCATGGACTTGGGCCCAAGACTCCAAGACTAGTGTTTGCATGACCAGAGCAGAGATATGGGCAGAGGGCATGGAAAGTGGCACCCACTACCCTGGCTGTGGCCATGGATCCATTGTGTCCCAGCCTGGGATGTAGACAGAACCAGCATGGACTGGAGTGGGCGTTTCCAGGCAAGTTAGGTGTCCACCCTGTCTCTGGAGGGCTGAGGCAGTGGGGTCAGGAATTGCCCTCCAGGTCACGTGGCTCTGAGTGAAACTGCCTGCCCCCCACCCTGACAGCATGATGCACCCAGGTCCTGACATCGCAGCTCCCCTGGCCCCTAGCCCAGCACAGACTGATGGGCAGAACCCACCATGCACCTGGAAAATCCTTGCTGCAACGGCCTCTGAGAGATGCGGTCTTCAGCTCCCTGCACAGAGAACGAAGGGCTGGGGGAGGCTAGGTTGGGGTGCAGGGAGCTATGCAGGGTGGGTGCCCCCAAGTGAGGGACCCATGAGACAGAGTGAAAACTGCTGGGACCTACGGGCACATTGAGTGGCTCTTGCCTTAAAGAGTAGCCGTCCTCCTCTGCAAGGGGCCTGTCGGAAACCGTTCTCCTCGCACCCAGGCCCTGGGATGCCATAGGAGTGCCAAGGGACCTGCCGCTGTCATCAGGATAAAGGATAAAGGCAGGGAGCTGAGCTGCAGAGGCTTCAGTCTGCACCCCACGCTCCCCCTGGCACCTGTGGCTTTTGTTGCTGGCCTCAGCTGGGCCAGATCTTCCTGCTAATTGAGGTGAAGCTGGCTTCTCACCCATAGCCTTCTGTTCCCCCACACCGTGGCTGTGGCTCTGGGCCTCCCGTGGACTGGGGAGCCCACGGAAGACCTGTGCCACCCAGCCCCGCCCCACACTGGGCCCAGGACTCAGTGTGTGCTACTTCCTGGCCATGGGCGGTGGCTCATGGCCGGCCATGACAGCCCTTTGAATCGCTGGAAAACAGCTCTTTGCCGTCTCGATGGGGAAAACAGGCTGGCCCTGGGTCTGGGAAGAGCATCACGGCTTGCCGTGAAAGGAGGCCAGGAAACCCTGCTGATCCCCGGTCCCTTCCTTCGGCCGCTGCCAGCCTTGAAACTGAGTCTGCAAGATGAGCAGCTGGGCACCGTGTCATTCCGGCAGGTGTGGCTGCGGCTGGCGTGCGGTCCCTTCCCACGGCCCTGTCCAGGCCTGCAGCTGTGCCCAGCCTGCTCGCCAGCCACCCTCTCCTGGTCGCTTCCGATTTGTAGTGGGGGCAGGGAGGGCTTTGTCGCCAACCTGGAGATGGCATGAGTATGTGGGGCATCCCGGTGGGCCACACCAAATGGGTCTGTACCCTGGATAGGGCCCAGGGCCACCCAAGAAAATCACAGAGGCCATTGAGGGATGGATGAGTCTGAACCAGGGAGCCTGGCTGAACCCTGAGTGCTGGCTGCCCAGTGCCCCCTACTGCCCGTAGGCAGCCTCTGCAAAAGTAGAAGTCCACAGTGGGTGCTGCCAAGCCGGGTGTTGAAATGACATTCCTGGGCCAGGGCTCAGGGACTCCAGGGTCTGGGCAGTGTGGACCCGACTTCCAGAAGGGAGAGAGTGGCTCCACGTTCCTCCTGCTCTCTGAGGTCATTGCCAGCCTGCACTAGGCTGGCTTTCTGTCACACCCAGCTAGGCATCTGCACCTCCAAGTGTCCCATGTGCCCTGCATGGGGTCCACACTGGACACGTGGGCTGCTGTCCTATTCTTCCAGGCTACCACCCTTTGGGGCTGGCTGGTTCTTGTGGGAGGGAGTGGCTGCTGTGTGGCCACCCTGGAGTGGTCGCTGGGTGCTGCAGAGTCCTCAGTGCTGACCGACTTCCTTCCTGATTGTCCACACTTGCTGGATAAGTGGGGTTTTCCTCCTGAGTAAGTCACCGATGAGCAAGGTCTGGAGTCCCTGAGTGGGATCATTTAGGGGGCACCAGGACCCAAGGAGCGGCCTGCTTGGACAGCAGGGGCACCAGAGGTGGCGCTGCATGTCTTACTAGCACGCATGGGGATGGGTCCCCAGGGGCCTGCACATGAGGACAGCCGGGGTAGAAGTCCTTCTTCAGTCACAGCACGATCCAGGTGCTTCAGAGACTGGCCGAAGTCAGTCCCACCCTGAGTGGCGACCCACCCCTGCGGCTCACTCAAGTCCCATGAGGGGAGCCAGCCCAGGTCAGTCAGGCCTGTCCACCTGAGGTGAGGGTTTCCACCCGGGCTGGTCCCTGGAGGAGCAGGGCAGGGCAAGTCCTGGGACCCCAGGTTGCCACTCTGGCGCACACTTATCCTGTCCCTGTGGTTTTGAGCTGGGGCTCGTTCTCCCTGCCTGCTTGACTGGGGCTGTGCAGGTGTGCTCTCCGGGAAGGGGCGTGGCCCCAGGCCGGTGTGAGGAAAGGGGCAGCCAGCTCTCCAGGAGGTGCTGTTGCTGACCCCAGCCCTCAGGCTCGCTGTCCTCTACTCCAGCAGGCGCTTTAGGGTAAAGGTCAGGGACCTCGAGAGGCACGGGGACCTTGGGAGACAGGGCCCTTCGCCAGGGGTGCGGGGACCTGGTTCCCTCATCTTGCCTGTGTGGTGATAGCTGTGGGCCATGGAGTGTGTGAGAAGTGACCTTGTGATGGGCAGTAAGGGGGCGAATTGTGCAATGGCTGTGGGAACCCGGGAGGTGAGAAGTGCTGGGGCTGCGGGGCAGTTTCTTGGGCTGAGACCATGATCTCTCCTGGCACAGCTCGTGACGCTGGCCCGGCTGCAGGGCTTCTGTGTGGCCTCTTGGTGCACCCTTAGGGTGCAGTGCATCTCCCTGGCACGCAGCAGCTTGCAGGTCCCATGGCAGCACCTGTGGGTCCTGACCCTGGCCCCGAGCTCTGCCTCCTCCTACAGTGACCCCTGCCTGTCTTGCAGCTCAGCCAGCAGATCTCCTAAAGGTCCTGGACTTCCACACCCTGCCGGATGGAATCACCAAGACCACTGGGTTTTGTGCCACGCGACGATCCTCCAAGGGCCCCGATGTTGCCTACCGAGTCACCAAAGATGCACAGCTCAGCGCACCCACCAAGCAGCTGTACCCTGGTAAGGGACCTGGGACTCTGTTCTGGGGTGGGTAGGGGTGGGGGGTGCCCTCTGGGGACTGTGCGGTCTGCAGCGACGCCTTCCCCGGGAGCCCTCTGCATCATGGTGCCCAGCTCAGAGTGGTCCTCACTGTCCACCACAGAGCTGTGAGGGGCCGAGGTGTCCTGAGCAGGTGTGTGGCCGCTGGGCTCAGCCTCATCTGAGAGATGGATGGGCCCCGGGGACCAGGTCAGGAGACAGCTCAGGGACACTGGGAAAGAAGAGCTCGCAGACAGCAGCTTAATTGGGGGCAGTGACAGGAAGAGATCCGTGAATCAAACACGAGCTGGTGCCAGGCTTTTAAAGAGAAGCCATTGCCAAGCCCAGGTCTCTGCGTTTAATGATGTTACCTGTCGTGAGCTGTGAGTCTCGGGCCGGGGGAGCGAGTCAGGTCATCACGCCAGCCCAGGGTGAGTGAGCCTTCGGGGCTTATCTGGACAGGCGGGGTGGGCTGCTATGGTCTTCTTGTAGCCCTGGGAAGATGAGCTCTTCTCTCCATTAGACAAGAGAGGCCAAAGAGGCCAAGCCTGGGCAGGTGGTCACCATGGACACCATCTTGTTATTACTAGCAGACCTTCTCTGTTTCAGTAGCCCAGAAGTGACCCTGACAGTTGTCCCGGAACCAGGGCCCTTTTAAAAAGCTGAGGAGTCTCTAGGCACCCCCTCGTCCACTGCTTCCCCAAAGGGTGCTCTTCCTGGTCCTGTGGTTCAGGAGGGATCCCGGCATCTTTAGCTAGGATTTAGCAGTTCATTTCATGTTGTCTTTGTACTTAGTTCAAGGACATTGGCCCGTGGCGACCTGGGTCGCCCGTGAACTTGTGTCTGTGGGTGTCTTTGGGCTGAGGGAAGCCCATGCGACCGGTGGCTCAGTCACAAGATGGGAAAGTCCTTGTAACACCTGTGTACCCTGAGCTGCCTGACTGATCCTTCAGCAGGGCCTGCGGACTGGGTTCTGGTGGCTCAAATCAGGGTTCCAGGAGCTGTGGGATTGCTGAGCCACGAGGCCAACTGAAATGCCACCCTGAGTCCTAATCTGCTTCCACCCCTCAGATGGAATTCTCCTTCCTTCACTTCCTAGGCGGGGGCTGCCTCTGTTCCTTCCCATGTCTCTAGAGCCTGACACCCAGTCAGGGACGGATCGCTGTTCATCGGTGGTGTGACCAGTTCAGGTGGTTGGTCTGTGTCCACCTTCCCCAGCAGGATCCACTGCCCGGGACGCTGAACCCTCATCCCTCCTGGCTCATTACAATGCGGTTTCTCAATCTGGGGCTCAGCAGAGGTGTTTATGAGGTTCCACTGTGTTCCCTGTGAGCCATGGTCCCTTCAGGCCGGAGGAGCTGAGGGTGGGATTGGCCCTACGCCAAGCCCACCCCGTCGCGGTGACTTTCACAAGAGGAATGACATACGGGCTGTCAGGCAGGGGCTCATACTTACTCCCCTAAGCTGCCTGCCAGCCTGGAGTGTGCCAGCGGCCTGGCTCCAAGTACGGACAAGTACGGACGTCTTAAAATGACCATAAATCCGTTGTTATTTTGCCAGGAGAGAGATGTATGTTAAACCTAATTTATCTTTTCAGGTTTTATCTAAGCTGGGAAAATCTGTTACTGTCGAGACTTTATAAATCAAGAAACAGTGTTGTAATGAGCTGGGAGGGCCGGGGTTCGGGGTCCTGGGCAGTGGCTCATGCTGGAGACGCTGTCTTCTCCATGAGTTTCTTTATTTCAAGCAGAGCCATTATTGGGCGTGGAGTGCCAGGGTGGGACAGAGGCAGGGTGGGACAGAGGCAGGCGGCCCTTTGAGGGGACAGCGAGGAGATGTAATTGCACAGGCCAACAGGGAAAAGGACAGGGACTTCTGGGCTGCGGGGGTCAAACACAATTCCACTTCCTCAGTTGACTGGTCGGTCCCAGGGAAAAGAGCCACCAGGACCCTGCCACTGGCCTGGCCAGCTGGGGTCTTTGCTGCCACACATAGCAGGCCACCCCTGTGGGTGCCAGCTGAGACTGATTTCTTGTCTCCTCTCATGTCCCCACATCCTGAGGGACAGGGTCAAGCCTGTGGCCATGGGCAGGGGTGGCCTTCTCTGCTCTCTGCCAAGGTGCCCTCCTGTCCAGAAGTGAGAGCCTCTGGAATCGATTCCTCCTTGGGACCTGCCTGCCACTGGCCACTGTCTCTGCCTCAGCCTTGTGATGGGTCCCTGGGGGAACTGGCCACAGTGCCGGCCTTCCCAGGGAAACCCCTAGCAAAGGGTAGGACTTTCTCACCTCCTCCTGCTGCCTTTGAGGCTGGGCCAGTTTCACTGCAGCCCTGAAAGGATCCCTCTGCTTGTCCTGCGGCAACAGCAGAGACTAAAGCAGGCGACTGTCCGGACCACCCCCAGGTTAGCCCCTTAGTCCTGTTGGTGCTGGGACTTTGCTACACCAGCACAGCAGCTGCAACACTTGATTCTGTCAGCAGAGGGCGCTCATGGATAAGGTTCCTCGAAGCTGCCGTGACCCCAGCTCTGCCACCCAGCAGCACCTATTGGTGGCAGCCTTCCAGGACATCTGGTTGACCTTGTTCTAGTTCTAAAGAATGGGTGGGGATTGGGAATCTCCTTTCCTACAAACCCCTCGGTCCAACTTGTGCCCCTCTGCAGCACTGCTGGGTGGGGGGTGTGTGTGGCTGTAGCCGCAGACTCCTCATTAGTGGTCAGCCTGGGGGGCCGTGCTGACAGCCTGCGCCTCGGCCTGCTGCCTGGGCCCGGCCTTTTTGGTTGACTCAGCAGGGCATCGATTAGCTGCGTCACACGCAGCTGTGACTGCTCTCCATAAAGGAATCACTGACCCTGCCCCCAGGATCAATGTTGAGGAGGAGGCCAAGGGCTAGCCTGGCTCTGGCTTTCGATGACCTGAGATCATTTCTGACTGGGTTACAAAGGACAATCCCTCCCGGCTACCCAGGAGAGTTGTTTTTCTTAAAATTTTAAATTTGGATTGAAGCCTTTGGATATTTTTTTAACTTTTTTTCTTTTGCATATTAATCAGGAAATTTCAGGGAGTACAGTTCTAGCTATGGCCACACCTAGAGGGGTCTGCACCTCCCCTCTTCTCCCCCCACCTCCCACAGTGCATGTTGAAGGAGATAGTGCCATGCACAGCCTGTGATGCAGTTACAGCTACCAAGGTGCCCCAGGCATGGCCCCTGCCTGGGAGAGTGCGTGCTCTAGGGGCTGTAGCTTGGCTCACATGCGGGTGTAGAGACAGAGTGGACCAGTCTGATTTCATGGAGGGGCTTGCGCTTGAGCTAAGGCATCAGAGGATGGGCTTGCCATGCCATGGCAGAAGGGGCTACAGGGCTGGAGTGATCCAGGGGCAGATGTGTGCCAGCGCAGGTCCCCGTGGGTTGGTTTGCAGCCCCTCACCTCGGTCTCCTGTTCCAGCATCTGCATTCCCCGAGGACTTCTCCATCCTGACCACTGTGAAAGCCAAGAAAGGTAGCCAGGCCTTCCTGGTCTCTATCTACAATGAGCAGGGCATCCAGCAGATTGGCCTGGAGATGGGCCGCTCGCCGGTCTTCCTCTACGAGGACCACACGGGGAAACCGGGGCCTGAGCAGTACCCGCTCTTCCGGGGCATCAACCTGTCGGATGGCAAGTAAGTGGCATGGGGGTGACCCTGTCCCCCTCCTGTGGCAGGAGGGGGCAGAAGGGCTGTTGTGGTAGGGTGTGAAGTGGGTGGCACCTGTGGGAGAGTCCCGAGGCTTGGGCTCCAGTGTGAGTGCATCCTCTGGGATTTCCTGTTCCCTCACTGTCTTCTTTTGTGCTTTGTAAAACACATCAAAACACCAAACGCTGCCTCTGTGTCCGAGAGACGCTGTGGCATGTAGCTGTTCCGGAAGGGTCTTGTGGGATCCTTCCTGGAGGGTGGCACATTCGACATGCTAGTGGATGGTTTAAAAGATCTCTGCTGGGGCGACCTTGCCTGTAGGGGCTTGAATGAAAGGAGTCCCCTCCATGGTCAGCAAGCCTGGCCTCCCAGGACAGGAGGTGACTCTGTCTTTCCTGAGACTGTATTGCGTGTTGATGCTGCCGCATCCAGTGCCCCGCAGCTTGTCTCAGGGCTCAGCTGCCACATGCCAGACTGGGGCCTCCACGCTGGGGTCACCCTGCATCTTGGCCTCCCTCCCACTCCTGCCGGGGGCTGTGACAGTGGCTGGTGTCGGGCTGCTCTGGGTCTCTGGCCCCAGTGCTCCCTTGAGCGTCCCAGTGAGCTCCTGGGGCCCAGTGTCCCCGTCTGAAGAGACAAGGATTCTGAGGTTGTGGGAAGCTGAGTGCCCTTGCGGTGCCTGCAGTGCTGGGGGACAAGTGAAGACCCCAGGTTGGGCTTCTGCAGCTCCAGCCCCCAGCCCTAGGCTGTCTGTTCCCCTGCAGGTGGCACAGAATCGCTCTCAGTGTCCACAAGAAAAACGTCACCCTGATCCTTGACTGTAAAAAGAAGACCACGAAGTTCCTGGACCGCAGTGACCACCCCATCATAGATGTCAACGGTATCATCGTGTTCGGCACCCGGATCCTGGATGAGGAGGTGTTCGAGGTGAGTGGCAGCACTGGTTCCCGAGCCACCTGGAACACAGCCTGCTGGTGACATAGGTCCCTGCTGCAGACCGGAGGTGGTGTTCACCCAACCCCAGGCCACCGGGCACGCCATGCTGTGCCTCATGCCTGTATTGACAGGGTGATGTCTGCTGTGGAGGCAGGGCAGGGACAAGGCCCTCTGTGGTGGACATGAGAGGAAGTGCATTTCCTGGTCCTCCTCGTGGAGGCTGCAGTGGTCGTGCAGTGTGACTGTGGGCAGGAAAATTAGCAGAACGCTGGCCACAGTGGGGGCCTCCAGGTGGTGCTCTCGGCTTTGCTGGGTGTTGGAGTGATGCGTAGCCTGTTTCTCTGTCTGTGAAATGGGATTATAAACATGGCTGTGCTGAGGTTGAATGTAAGGTATGGCATGCTCCTCCTTTGTGGACAGTCGTTGAAAAGCGGCAGCTGCACTTGTTCTGAGCCAGCACCAGGGGACAGTAGGGACTGAGCTCTGTGGTCCAGTGTGGACAGCTGGGAAGAACTGAGGAGGTGCAGGGAAGTGATGTGACACTGGGTCTGCTGGACGTGGCTGCCTTTCTGTAGGTCAGGGTTCCTGAATGTGGTGGCCTGGATGTCCCACAGGGTGGGCCAGATGCTTGGGTCCTGCTGACGGTGCCTGGCTGTAGGTTACAGAGACTCCTGGTGGGCGGGACCTGGCCAGGTCCATCCTCAGCTTTGTGGGCGGCATCCTTGGGCTATGCTGGGCAGTGGTGTTGAGAGCTGGCTTGGGGACGTCGCAGGCTGGGATGAGCGCTGCTGGGAGATCCAGGCAAGGTGGGTGACTTGGATGGGCTTCGGGACTGTCCTTGGCAAAGCGTGGACTGTGGCAGTGACACCATGGGAGCTGTGGGTGTATGCGGTGCTGCTCGGCACCGGGACTGGGGTGCTTGTTGCAGGCATCCCCGGCTTCCACCTGTGTGTTGGTAAAGGGTGAAAACTCCATGTTATTTTCACAGACAAATAAACCTGGAGCCGAGGGGCCTGGGGTCGTCATCTAGCTTGGTCCTCTCCCCCCGCAGCCCTCAGCAGCCAGCCTATGGCTGGAGAGCCTGTTTGCCTGGCAGGAGTTGGACTGGCGTGAGCCTGGCTGCCCAGAGCAGGGATTTTTGTTGACCACAGGTTGTTAATGGTCCAGAGGCGCTGTTTTCCCAGCCCCAGGGTTTCCTGGCTGTTAGCTGTGCTCACGGCGGGAAATTGGACCTGTCTGCCTTAATGAAGACCGGCGGAGTGCGGCGGTGCCCGGGGCGGCCCATGGGGCCCTTTTCCCTTCCTTTTCCTGAGCCCGTAATGATAAGGTGGGGAGCGGCCTCCTCCCGGCTGCCCTTTGTCTCCTCCCCTGTGCAGCTGAATTTCAGGGCCTTTTGAAGTGGAAGCCATTTAACTCTTTGATTCTGCAAGATTCCGGTAATGGCTCTGTCGATTTTCACTGCTTGGCTTTTCTAGAAAGACAGAGAGGGTGGCACTGTGGAAGTGCTTTCTCTGGGACCCCGTCCTTCCCCTGGAAGGTGAATTGCACTCATTACCAGCCCACGTGGCCCGCACCCCTGTGGGGGTCTAGGGGAGCTGGGAGGAGCCAGCGAGCAGGTGCACAGGCTCTCTGCACAGTGATGTTTGCAGAGCGCGGGGTCGGGTGCTGGGGAGCTTTGGGGCTGCAGGGCTTTTCCTGGAGTGGCTCTGGCCACTCAGAGGCCCCTTGTCCAGCCTGAAGTGTTCTTGAGGGAGACAGCTGGGTGCAGAGATTCCTGGGGCCAAGATGTACTCTTGCCTGTGGTGAGGAGCCCTTGGCCTGGGTGTATGGGCTTGGTGGGCCTGGAGTTTCCAGCCCTCTCAGCCCCCAGCCTGGGCCCCAGTTCAGCTCTGATGCGGACCCCCTGCCATCCAGGGAGGTGGATGCCCAGGCTCCTGCAGAGCCTCCAGGAGGAAGCTGAATGCAGAGAGAGGCTAAGGTCCTCCATCCCATGTCCTTGGCCTTCCTGGTTCATCTTCCTGGCCAGAGACATTGAGCCCAGGCCTTCATCCTTAAAATGGATGCGATGGGCTGGCATGGGGTACGGATAGGAGGCTGCACACACCATCAGTACCTTTGAGGGGTGCAACAAACCGCAGCACCCCGGCCCCTGGCATCAGAGCTGGTGGCTGTTCTTTGCTGAGCTCACCACATGGGGTGGGGCCCTGGGACCATACCGATGCCTGGGTGTGAGCCAAGGAGCCCCCTGGAGCGAAGTGGCCAGGGGTCACCTGCATATATGTGCCCACACCCGATCTCCCAAGTCCCCTTCGAGGTCTGGGCTGCTGGGCGGCTGGACTGCTGTCCTCCATGCCCCAGCTGGGGTGGGGGTCCAGGCTGGGCCTGGCTTGTCCCCATCAGTGTGTCCTTGGTTGCGTGCCCAGCCGTGCCCCAACTGGGATGTGCTGGGTGGTCCCAGGGCCTCACCCCCATGCGTGGCGCTGGGCGGGTGGGCTCTGTTGGCGGGGAGGTGGGTGCACAAAGAGGTCTTTGCATCGGGGCTGGGTCAGGAGCCATGAATGGTCCTGGAAACAGGGATGGACATGACACAGAGAGAGCCGGGGTGTAGGGAGAGGAGTGGTTGTTCCCAGCAGGCAGAGGCTGGCCGAGGGGGCAGGGCTCAGCTGAGACCCAGACCTGAGGAGGGGGGTTGGCTGCTCCTCTCCTCTCCCTTCCTCTCCTCTTCTCTTTTGTCTCTGCCTCCTCTCCTCCTGTTCCTCTTCCTTTTTGTTCCTCCTGTCCTTCATTCCTTTTGTCATTCTTTCTTTCTCTTTCTCCATCTTTCTGTAATCTCTGCACTGAGCTTCAGTGCCAGCCTTTATATTATTATCATTTTTTACATTTTAGGAGAGTCTTACTAAGTTGCTAAGTTGCCCAGGCAGAGCATGAATGTGCAATCCTCCTGCCTCAGCCTCCCGGGAGGCTGGGATCACAGGCACGTATCACAGTGCTTCATGCTTCCTTGTGCAGATCAGGAAGCCGTCACCAGCCGTTGCCTGGTGAGGTGACCGTGGAGTGGGACGCTAAGCCTTGTGTGCCCTTCCCCAGCCTGGATGCTGGACCCCGATTGCCCTTTTGGTACCCTGGCCTTGCCTGGGGCTCCTTGCACTCTATTCCTGTGTCCCTTTCTTCCTGGGCTGGAGGATGCCAGAGTCCCCTGGCCTATGAAGCCAGGGGCCTGCAGCAGAAGGACCCTCTTCTGGAGGAGCCGTGGAGGAGGACGAGGCCCAGAGCAGCCAGCCTGAGAGCTCCAGGCTGGGAGCCAAATGTGCTTTTAAGCTGTCGCCTGTTTCAAGGGGCAGCGACACCAGACGACTGCATTCAGCTCTCTCTGCATTCAGGGTCGATGGTGTCGGGGCCAAGCAGCCCAGGGCCCTCCACTGACCCCCGAGTTCAGCGCTCGGAGCAGCCAAGTATTTGCCTCATCCTGAGTTCCTCCCCAGGAGCCTGGCTTTTCCACTGACCCCGCCTTTCCTGGAATTGCACTCTCGCAGGCAGGAGCAGGGCTGTGCTGCTCTGGCTTCCAAGGCAGCTGTGGCCCCTGCTGCCTCTGTCTCTGTCCCACTGGTGAGCTGGGCAAGGTGTCCTTCTGCCGGAGCCTGGTTGGGGCAGCTTATGTAGGCTGTCCCTGAGTGCCACCCCAGTCCCTGCTCCTGCTGGCCTGTGATGACCGCAACACAGTCCAGGCCACTGGTCTGGGCATGGGGACATCCACAAGTCCCTTGGGCTCCTGCTTGCTGGGTCCCTGAGCAGACACCTCCCAGCTGTTGCCACCCATCACCTCCTCCTTCAGTGCTGGGGTCTCTGCCAGGGACGGGGGAGGTGGCACTGGTGGGAACAGTGACGGCGGTGATGGTGGTGGGGACGGTGGTTGTGGTGAGCGTGCTGTGGCTGCTGGTGGCCATGACAGCAGTTGATGCTGTGATGGCGGTCACAGCAGTGCAGGTGCTGATGTGGTCCAGGGCTGGTATCACTGTGGTTCAGGCGATGACGGATGATGTGGTGATGATGGCGCTGGTAGAGGTGATGGTGGTGTCACCACCTGCACCCAGTACGTTTGTGAGGACATTCTCCCTGGATGTCCTGAGCGGGTGGCCACAGGTAGATGAGCCTAAGGGAGCCTCTAGGGCAGTGCTGTTCCCCTCTCACTGCGCGGACACCAGGTGTGGCTTGGTGCCTGGTGGGAGAACACTTGAGGTCGCCCACCTGCTAGGGGCGCAGTTCAGCTGCCCCATCGTGCTGTCTCAGTCCCATCTTCCTCTGCTTGTGATGAGCAGGGAGACTCAGCTTGAGATGCACTGGGGTCCCGTGGGCACCATAACTGGAGCCGGCTGCACTTGGCAAGGTGGTGGGAGGGTGTCGCCACCCAAAAGTGCGGGGGTGGGGCGGCGAGTACCTGACCTCCCCTGCACAGCGCGCTGCCTCTTGGTTTGGCCAAGTTTTGGTTCTCCTGCAGCCTCGGGCAAGAAGTCCCGGTCCTCTGACTTTCTCTGTTCCTCTCCGTGTATGAGCTTGAAGTGCTCTGGCTAAAATTAGCGAAATCTACAAGACAAGTAAAGTGCTCAGCCAGGGGCCCACAGAGCACATTTGGGTGAGGGGAGCTGGGTGCAGGTGGTCGTGGTTCCAGGTGGGAGTGGAGTGGAAGGGAGCAAGCGAAGTCCAAAGGCTCAGGAGGAAATGCCGAGAGCTGTGTGATTTGAGGAGCTTCTCTTGGCTTCCTAATGTGGGCAGCTCCGCATTCTGTCTGCATGGCCCTCGGGCTTGCAAAGCCTCCAATGAAAACTTTGCAATTTCCTCAGCTCGGCACAGAAATGCAGCCCGGATGAAATCTCATTATCGGCACCAGCAGAACTGACTGGCTCAGCAAATGCTGCGGCCTGGGTGAGAGCCAAGGACAACACCCCCCGCCTCCTGCTGTGTCCTGGGTGGCGGAGGGTCGCCTGGCCTGTGCC